TCGCTTTCATCCCTGCCATAATCCCCCAGCACCCAATATACCCAAAGCAAAACCAAATGATGGTGTCAAGCTAACCGGATGGATATCAGTTTTGGATATAGAGAGTGGAAATTGACTTTATTGGTAATGTAAAATTATGTAAGATTATGTTAAAAGTTAACAATTTCAGATAAATCTTACGAAGAGTAAAGGTGGGCTTTGAATGTTCACCAAAGATGTTGTATGCATACACTATTGTCTTTAATGCTCATCTAAGTACTACTGGTTACAGCTGCTGTCCAGTAACACCACCAATTTAACCCTGCAGAACTGTGAAATACTTATATATTAGCAGTTCTGGGCACCTTTCAGCCTTCAGTAAGGAAACATGGTCGCAATAGTGGGGCACATGGCTGCCGCAGTGCCACCAATTGGTTGGCTCTCCTGCAACATGGCCCTTTCACAGCAATCACGTGGTACACTCCCCCAAAACCATAACTTAGTTGCAACCTGACAAGTATTTCTCTTTAGTCTATTATTACATGTGCTGAATTGTTTTCTGTTTCCGTTTAATTTTTATTATACTTTGCAATAAGCAAATAGCAAAGCATTTCAGCCTATATATTTCCTGTTTGTTTAAACAAGAATTACAAAACTACAGAATGACATCTAAATGCAATCATAAATTCTACAAGCAATTCTTTAACAGAGTATGCCTTTTCCGTCTATGAAGGATTTTTTTTCCCTCACCCAGAAATTAAGTTCTTCTAAACCATGACTGACTGCCGTTAAAACTATGTAACCATATTTGTGTTTTTGAAAGATTGCATCCTACTGCTTTCCCAGAGCAGTTTTTCCAAGGCCTTTGACTTTTGCCAAGACAGACACTTAATCATAACGGACAATTATCAGCAAATTCTCTCCGACAGGACCTAAGCCTGCTGAGGTAATGTAGCTGACAAACTTTGATGCACCATGCCCGTGCACATTATGTTCACATTGTGTGTACATCTGGGCACCTTTTATACCGATGCAGCAAACAGCCAATCATTTATTCCACTCTAATTAGCACACATGTAAATCTTCACCAATCATCCCACGATGCTTGCTACTGTTATGGCATCCATATCAAAAGCTGGCAGGACAAGTGAGCAAAAGGAAAAAAATAAAAATTAAAAAAAAGCAAACACCAGCTTTGAGTTGAACCTGCCGTCACACCATGGCAGGTCCCCTTTAGTCCTGACTTGCCAGCTTTCCCTTTCAACTCCTATCAATGAACTGAAAAAGAAAAAGGTCATCAGGCAGAAGCTGATTGGCCAGCATGCTATGATTCTTTACAAGATGCAGAAGCACACCTGAAGCGACACCATCCTTTTATCGCTTACAGCATGCTGCCTGTCACAAGAAAAAGTCAAGCACAGCTTCTGAGCACAGAAGTGGATAGTATGTTAACTTGAGGAAGCAATGTCCACCCCTATTTGAGAAAAAAAAATTATTTTGCTGCCAAATTCTGTGCTACTTGTCAACATATTTTTCTTCTTTCAGAAGAAATTCCTATTGTAGAATGTCTACAAAATTGTCATAAAAGCAGAATTTGATTAAAAAGCAAGAAGACATGCTGAATTTTAAACATGTTTGCTTTGATAACCAGAGTCAAGATCTTTACCACTTGTTGACAATGTAAGGTACTTTTGTTAATTTAAGTATTGTGTTTATGGAGAAGGATAAAATACAAACACATACAAGATGTTCAAAATTTAACATTGTAGCTTCTTGTAATGATCTGAATGACTTCTGGAACATCACTTTTAGACTTTATTTTAATTTTTTTGAAGTCACAATAATATTTATTAAAGAAATAATGAAAACAGAGTAAGATCAATCCGATATAGTTCAGGGACTTCACGTTATGCAAGACAGCATACAGCGCATTGGATAGAGCCAATAGATTAGCAATTGATGTCCCAAAAGAACTTCCCCATATACAGGTTACATTACCGGGCTGAAGAAACAAAAAACAGCCAGGCTATGAACCTCGTTAAGATGACACACAAAACCAAAAAAAGAAAGGTCGCCCAACAGCAGAACACTCAAAAAAATTTAAAATAAGACAGTGCAAGTAGAGAGATGGTAGAGAATAAAAAAGCAGAAGCGAGAGTATAGGAGAAAGGCCCAGAGAAAAAAAAAGAGGGTCCAGAAAAAAAAAAAAGAGGGTCCAAGGGGCAGAAATAAATAAAAGGGAGAGATGGGAGAAAGTGTCTTCTAATGTTAATCAAAAATACATTAGGAACATTTTTTGCAACATTTAAGGTAAATATTTATAAGGACAAAAATGTATGGATCTACATTTACATGTGTGCATGGGCACGCCTCAGGACTTTACATTGCTCTGAATCAGAAGAAAAAAATCTCCATTGTGAAACAAAAGTCAAATGCTATGTCCTATCCCTTTGTGCTACCAGTCAACATAATGCAATAGAGGACTGCACAGAAAGTGCACATGAACTAATTATTTTCCTAATGCTTGCTTTGCCAAGTGGCACTGGCCCTGGAGCTATGCAGTCACCACCAGATCCATGGAACCCTGTTTAAGAATGACTGCTCTATGTGTTTCCTTTTTATATGCACGGTGCCATGCTTGCTTGTTGTGCACAGAGTTTACATTAGAAGAAGTATATACTGGGGAAAATAAGTAAGCTGCCATTGCTGAATTCCGCTTGAAAATGCTTATTGCTTGGTTGCCAATAATCTCACACTTTCTACCCAAACAGAGCAAGAATGCAGCAAGCAAAGACAATGCATGTCTAATTCATTTTAGAAACTGACAAAGTTATTGAATCAACATGACAAAGCAAACATTTCAAAATTTTAAGTCAGCAATGGCAGATTCTATTTTTTCTCAGTACACATTTGCTTTAAATATCACTGTGTGTTTGTTTCAGTTTTAGCTACTAAGCTTTGTAATCAATAGGCTTTTTCTCAGCTAGCAAACCAGATAAGACTTATCCGGCAAACATGTGAAAAGGAGCCTATTTGGCTATAATAAAAAGATATGCATAAGAAAAAATAATTTGTTAGCAATGACCATGTTAGTAAAGAAAGTATATTTAAAAAAAAAAAAACAACAACACCTCTCTTCATTCCCTTTAATGTATTTTTGATGTGGCATTCACTTTTTTTTTTTATTGGATCAACTATAGACATGTGTATATTAATTATTTGGGGGCGTTACTGATCTGCCACATTCAACTTCCCTGTCCAACCACTATTGAGATAAGATATCAGAAAAACAGAGAGTCCTTGCTTTCAGTTATTCGCCAACTCAGAATGCAAAGCAAAAAGCAGAGTGTGCAATCAGCATTAAATATATGGCTGAACCCAGGGCATATGTATTTACAAAATATACATAGAAAGTTTAAAAAAAAATAATACATATTGATAGCATTATTTAACCTAAGACACTTGTTTACACTTAAAACTAAAATAAAATATTGAAAAATCTACATTTCTCTTTAAAATACAAAGTTACAATTTATCTTTGTTGAAAAGGCAGTGAAACAATAGGTCACTGCAATCATCTGTTAAATTATTTTAATGGTCCAGATCTTTTAAGACCACCACAATAATGTATTTTTAGGGCATCCCATAATTACTTCAACAGCATTAATTAAAAGTGACTTCCCATTAAACCATGTTATCACACGACCGTAAATAATAGTCAAAAATAACGCAGCTGTGCTACCTAGCAGAGACTGGAGAGGTCAAGACTTGGCTACGTTCTATTGACAATGCTATAACAAATAATTTTTATACATATAGATCATTTTTAAGAATAACATTGACTTTGCAATAAATTGATATGAGTTCAGCCTTTGAGCCAGATACAAAAGTTTAATTCTGGCTCAAATGACCATTACTTAGATGCCTCACGGCAGTATTTCAAGCCATAAAAGTTGTAAAGATTTAATCTGGTAGAAAAAAAAATGTAGAAATAAGCTGCATATGACTGTAGTCTACCTGCTGGATGGCAATACTTTTATCATGGCATTGCACTTCTGCAGACGGCTACATGTACCTAAATCCGATATTCACATGCATCTTAATCATCCTCATCTTCTCCAAGACCTAAAAGTGAGTCTATGAAAATGAAGGTCAGTGTGTTCCCTGGTTCCAACACCACTCTCTCTTTGATCTCAGCCACACACTATAGAAAAGTTGCTTAGCACAGAATCCAGTAAAGAGCATCACATTTTGCATGTTGGTGTGGCGTGCCCTAACCTCCCTATTGGGCTTTGATGCTGGCCATTCAAGAGCCGGTTGTAAATTGCATTATAAAAAAAAAACCAGTGTCACAATCTGTGATCAGGCTCGGAGTCCAATAGTAGCCAAAAGGTATCAGGTTTGAGGTGGAAGGTGATATGCGTAGTCTATAATCCAACAGCCAAGGGTTGGTACATGGATAGCCGTATGAGGAAGTTGTATCGCATAAGAAGCAGGAAGCATGATAGTCAGGAGAGCAATAACCTGGCAAACAGGAAGTGCAGAGGCATGGCTTAAATAGGAAGCTCAGGAGAGGAGCAAAGAGTTCAGCAGAAAACTAGGTTTAACTAAGGATTGCACAAGAGATCAGGCAAGGAGCTATCCAAGGTCCCAGGTGCTTAGCAGGAAGGACCACTGACAGATACAGCAGAGGTCCTGGTTTCAGATGTGGATCCTGACACCCTGTTTTCAAGGTTTGACCAGCTGTAGCTCAGGTATACTGAGCTTAGGGTGACGGGAGGATGCTAGTTTGTGTCCTCCCGTTACCCGGAGAACTATGGGGAAAAGCCCTAACCCCATAGTTCTCTCTTGAGCCTAACTGATGACACATCAATCATATTTGTAGAACATAATCTTCTGGAAGCAGACACATCCAACCAACATGTCAGGAGCTCTTTGGAATCTGTCTGCAGTGGATTCATACTCATATGTTCGTACTGATACAAAAGGTAAACAGAGACGTTACTTTAGCAAAGGTGCAATGTTTCCTGAAAAGTAATACATGTTCACCAACTGATTTCAATTTTTGAAGTGACCCGCAAATAAATTAAATTTAAAAAAGTGCAAAAAACTGAGCATAAGAAAATACATGATCCAAGCTCATCTCTAAGGAAAACCAAGCTTCAAACAGCTCTGTACATCCCGAGAAACAGGGAGCTGAAATGCAAATCTTGACTTGTAATAGTCAGGGTTGACCCCACCCCCACTTACCAAGATTGATTTTTTAAAGTTTACTTTAAAGCAGAATGCGAAAAAATGTTTTTTAACCCTTGCAGTGGGGATACCACCACACTGCAAAGGGTTAAGTGCTCGTTTTAAAGCTGATTTTTAAAAAAAAAGTTATAATCAATCGATCTTGGGAGCAGGCGTGCTCTTAGACTGGTCCCTGGAGCCTTTCTCTCCCCCTCCGCTACAATAGTCTAAGGATCCTTGAGTCATCATATTGAACAGAAAGTGTGTAGGAAGTGAGGACACAGGGACATATAATCGCTGCAGTGGATGAGGAGGCAGGCTTCAGAGGCCGAATTAGCAGCCAGTTGGCTCGGCAGTTTGGGTCAGTATAACTTTTTTTAGCACCTCGACAAAAACGAGCACTTAACCCTTGCAGGGCCGGGACAGCCGCACTGCAAGGGTTAAGAACATTTTTGCCCACAGTTCTGCTTTAACTGTCTAACACTTTTCATATGCTGGTAACAAGACAAATGTCATTACTTCCTGTTGGTGTCTAATGTATTTGGGACTACTGCTAGGCATTTCCAAAAGATGTGTCATCTTTGTACAAAACTACTGACATTTTTATAGTATGTTTTGTTTGAGCCCCCAACTTGATGAATTATGTATGTATGGAAAGGTTTGCCATCAAATATCATCGGCATTTAGGGCATGAATTCCATAGGTAAAAAAAAAAAAATTAGAAAAACTCTCATAACAATACTACACCTAAAATTAATTAAATATATTTATTCATAGATGTCGACAAGATAACCCATCACCAAAAATACAATATTGTACAGAATGATTTTGTATTGTAACAAAGGTCTCGATTTGTGAGTGATCTTAAACCTCTGGAAAAAGAATTCCCCAATTTCGAAGATCTGAAGCCCAATTACAAGTAATTACAGCTTTTCATTTTCAACATGATGAAATAATTTGATCCTTTTTTTCAAGAGGTCTGGTTTAGCTCAAAATAGACTAGTGCTTCTGCACAGAGTTAGTATACAGAGACAATAAAGATCAATCACAAAAGAAAAGCAAAAAAATACATGTTGCCCATAAATCATAAATGTACTCAGGGCAGAAATAGCTATTATTTTCTATGCATGCCATTCATTTCATCATCCATGAGTGAGAAATAACAAACATCCCAATGAAATTATTGAAGAAAATCAAGAGCATAATTATAGGTTCAGGACATGCTTCCAAGTAATCTATGTTGACAAAAAGGAGAGACATACAATAGCATTTATTAGGGAGCACCACATAACGCAGCAGTAACCAAAGAAATATAAGCATTACTGCATTTCCTTCCAATGTTCTTTAAGGACATTCTGGCTCACAGATAATAGTTTTAATAATCATTTAATGATCATTAAAGTGGACAAAATGCAGTTTGTTACTTTCATGTTCTTAAAGAACCTGGGACTGTATCATAGATATGTAGCAGACACTCAAGTTGTTCACTGAGCACTTCCAGGTGTCTACACAAGCTTTTGAAAAACAGGGAGCTCTGGTAAGAAATGCCAACCAGATCTTATGGTCTCCAACTCTGACCTACTCCCTCCCAAACCTTGCTCCTGATCAGTGAAGTGGTCCACCATAGTTAAAGTGACACTAAACTAAGGAGTCAAATCTTAAAAATGCATTCAAGTAACCTATTATCAAAAATGTATCTCATTTGTGAATCACTAGGCTGCAGATCCTCCCATCATCTCCAAATTTGTGCTGTAACTGTCCTTTCTTCTGGAGGGTGGCTTTTGTTCCTCATGGCCCCTGTGTGTGCTGTAAAGAATGCCTTTTTTTAAGTAGATCAACATCCACTGACAGTGATCATGGACCGGTAACTCTTGTCATGATACCAGACTATTTATTGTGCCCACAACCATACCATAGCAACATAGGCATTCGCTAAATCATAGATACATTTATAAACAAATGTAGGTAATGTTTAACCAAGGACTTTAAGGTTAACACCTTTTTCCAAGCAGCAATGCAATCTCATCTGTCCCAGGAAGTTTTTACTGTAAGAACATGAGAATTCAACCAAGGACGAGGGGATACATCTAGGTCAGTCTGTAAAAAGCTTTAAAGTACTAAAAGGTTCCCCTATAACATCCAGTACCAAATCCAGTTACTACATGATGCATGAACAATAAACTTCCTTAATTTGTGTCTTGCATGCTCCCCTTCTAAGACACTGGAGCTCACAGTGGGAGAAGTTCAGCAACAGAGGCATTGTCATCCATCAAGAAATCAGAGGGCAGTACTAGATGTAGCCAGGTGCTAATTGACAAGCTACAGGCTTATAATGTACCGGTAGTACGAACACTGAGGTGAACAGAACTGAACTATCACTAACGCAGTTTAAGCACACTTTTCCTCGGCGTAAAATATTTATGTTAATGGACTGTTCTCCAACAAAACCAAACTAACCCATCAGTGTTCCAGGTAGTACATTGAAATTCAAATACGGTGTGAAAAAGCAAAATAGCAGATGCATAGTTTTTGTTGCCAGATTTCATATTATTTAAAGGTAAGTGTAGCATTCCAAAGGTTAATAGGTGTTATGAATTAAGTTAGGATCAGTCTTTAGGGCTAAGGGTAAAGAGACACTGTCACCTTGTCCATTGAGGGCAAAGTGAGAGGGTCTATGTAAAGGTCTGACCCACTCACCTTGCCCTTGCCAGTGCTGCCAATCCCCTCCTTTCGCTGCCTCAGCCGATAAAAATACCTGGGGCTCCTGGGTATGAAGTGACATGTGACTTCCTCTCATGTGACAGTGTTTAAGTCTAGCAGCCAAGCCGGAGCACTATCACATAATAGATGGAGTGATGTGATTGCTCCACCTAGTGTCTGACTCCATCCAACACTAGCAATTTTGGTGTTAGCTGCAAAGGAGGAAGGATTGGCAGGGTAAAACTGGTAAGGGGAATATCAATGGGTTGTGGGAGCCCGCTCACACAGAGTCACATTTCTAGTGTTACTCTTCAGATAGGGAGAAGATTTAGGGCCTGTTCAGAAACAATTGTTTTCTGTGTGTCCCATTCACACCATAACACGGGTGTGAAGGGCGGGGCACTGCAAAAAAAGGCAAACATGCTAACATTCATAATTGTTGGTGCCTAAAGTCAATGATTAATTATTTTTGATGCCTAAAGTTCCTTGCCAGCAAATTGCAACCAATGAAGGTTGTGGTTTTCAAAGTCTGCTCTACAACGGAAAAGTTATTATCAAGTATGGCCACAATATTTTCATAAAAGTCTCAACTCATATGAAGCAGTAACACATCAGTTTAGAAACCGTAAACTTAGAACAGTACCTATAAAATTAGAAGAGTTCACTTTAGAACAAACATCAGCTTTTTAAAAAAGCATGCAGAAACAACCAGTAGTGTTTTACTTTTATTGTATTCTTGCGGTACTGGTGACCCGCACCCTTTATAGCACATTCCCACTGACAGTGATGTACTTACACAAACTCCCAAAGATCAGAGAAAGCACCATTATTTATGCAGCAATTAAACCCATTTACGTACCTAAACATGCAGAGCTCTCTGTGTGTTTCTGCATATTTTTAAAATGATGTTCCAATAATTTACAATAATTTTGAGGAGTAGCTCATACCACACATCTAATATTTGTATTACATTTCCTCATACTACAGTTTAAAACACAGGCTGCCAAGTCAAACTTCCAACGGCTTCAATAGAAAGCCATAGGACTTGGTAAATCTGTTTCCAATTTGCAAAACTCAAGTGTTTACAGTTTATTTTTTCAATATCTGTGTTTGGACTGGGCACACCCTTCCTATTACAATCTGAATGAAAACCTACAACTGATGTTCTGCAGGGTCAATTGACATTAACACAACCCTGTAGCTTAGGGAAAAAAACTGCTGTCAGGTATAACATACCGGCAGCACCATCCAAAACTCTGCTGTTACAGCTGAATCCCAAAATACTGACACTTGCTCCATGTACCCATTTGTCAGTGAAGCAGCCCATCATAGTAATGGGCCAATAGGAATGTGGGGTGGGGCAGAGTAATAAGTTGGTCATGCAGCTCAATCTACAGGTCAGTGCCACAGCCACCAAAGAGACAACAAGGGTCATATTGGTCAGGTGTGCAATGTGATATTCACAATAACGTGGAATGGGGCAGAGCCCTAAGCTGTGACACCAAAAGGAAGTATGGCACTTTTGCCATTAAGTACTGCCCAGGATTTAGGGTCCTGGAGGCTGCTGTAGACATGTGCAAGTACCTATAGGGTATTTACCAAAAGAGTAGTCAATGCTCAGAACAGACATCCAGCAGAGGTAATGAGTCAGTCTGCTGGACTGGAGCAAGTGAAATCAAATATGCTTATTACAAACATGGGTGAATACTCATACAAAACAAAGTTAAAAAACAAACAGAAACCATCAAATGGAAAGACCTGATTGACCACTTGGTCTTTTTCCAGCCTCACTATTTTATGTTCCTACAATCAGGGCTAAATGAGAAGCAGAAAATGTATATATGGCTGCTACTTTGAGGTGGGCAGAGTGTTTTTTTTGAGGGGCAGATGAGAGGCGAACTGTGCATATGACTAGTGTGGGGAAGGGTTGGGACGGTATATATAGCTTTTGTGACACAGGGGAGGAGAAAGCTGTGTATGTACCTGCTGGAGAGTGAGTGTGTGTATAAGGAGGGGCTGTATACACTTGCTGCCTTTCTTAAGTTGCCCATACACCTTACAACCATCGCAAGACTTTTGTCTTGCGATGGTTGTAAGCTAATTAAAAGCTTGTACGATCTGCCCATCTTGGACAGGCAGATCGTACTTTTCCTCATACTACAGTTTAAAACACAGGCTGCCAAGTCAAACTTCCAACGGCTTCAATAGAAAGCCATAGGACTTGGTAAATCTGTTTCCAATTTGCAAAACTCAAGTGTTTACAGTTTATTTTTTCAATATCTGTGTTTGGACTGGGCACACCCTTCCTATTACAATCTGAATGAAAACCTACAACTGATGTTCTGCAGGGTCAATTGACATTAACACAACCCTGTAGCTTAGGGAAAAAAACTGCTGTCAGGTATAACATACCGGCAGCACCATCCAAAACTCTGCTGTTACAGCTGAATCCCAAAATACTGACACTTGCTCCATGTACCCATTTGTCAGTGAAGCAGCCCATCATAGTAATGGGCCAATAGGAATGTGGGGTGGGGCAGAGTAATAAGTTGGTCATGCAGCTCAATCTACAGGTCAGTGCCACAGCCACCAAAGAGACAACAAGGGTCATATTGGTCAGGTGTGCAATGTGATATTCACAATAACGTGGAATGGGGCAGAGCCCTAAGCTGTGACACCAAAAGGAAGTATGGCACTTTTGCCATTAAGTACTGCCCAGGATTTAGGGTCCTGGAGGCTGCTGTAGACATGTGCAAGTACCTATAGGGTATTTACCAAAAGAGTAGTCAATGCTCAGAACAGACATCCAGCAGAGGTAATGAGTCAGTCTGCTGGACTGGAGCAAGTGAAATCAAATATGCTTATTACAAACATGGGTGAATACTCATACAAAACAAAGTTAAAAAACAAACAGAAACCATCAAATGGAAAGACCTGATTGACCACTTGGTCTTTTTCCAGCCTCACTATTTTATGTTCCTACAATCAGGGCTAAATGAGAAGCAGAAAATGTATATATGGCTGCTACTTTGAGGTGGGCAGAGTGTTTTTTTTGAGGGGCAGATGAGAGGCGAACTGTGCATATGACTAGTGTGGGGAAGGGTTGGGACGGTATATATAGCTTTTGTGACACAGGGGAGGAGAAAGCTGTGTATGTACCTGCTGGAGAGTGAGTGTGTGTATAAGGAGGGGCTGTATACACTTGCTGCCTTTCTTAAGTTGCCCATACACCTTACAACCATCGCAAGACTTTTGTCTTGCGATGGTTGTAAGCTAATTAAAAGCTTGTACGATCTGCCCATCTTGGACAGGCAGATCGTACTTGCGATCATCGAAAGCACGCCCCGCTGAGTGGCGGGCTTCCGATGACCGCAATGCTGAACGGACAGTGTGCGTGTGCGCACACCGGCCCGTTCCGCAGTTGTCGAACGAGCACGCCACTAACCCGCCGACAACTGTACAATTCTCGGCGGGTTTTCTAGCATGCTCCTTCGACAAAAGACGTGCGACCGGACAGTAGAAACGGTTGCGCACCTTCCATGCACCTTGCGATTATCGTACGATCGCGGGATTTCCCGCGATTATCGTACGATAATCGCAAGGTGTATGGGCACCTTTAGGTACACCTCTTCAACTGCTCGTTAACACAAATACCTAATCGGCCAATCACATGGCAGTAACTCAATACATTGAGGCATGTAGGCATGGTCAAGATGGTCTGCCGAGGTACAAACCAAACATCAGAATGGGAAAGAAAGGTGATTTAAGTGGTTTTGAACATGGCATGGTTGTTGGTGCCAGGCGGGCTGGCTTGAGTATTTCAGCATGAAAAAATGTCCAATGATGAATGTGGGATAACATGGCTTAGCTTGGTAACGAGACATGATGACTGGTCATAAATATATATAGTATAATAAAGAACTTTATTTACATGATCTCAATATGCTTAAAAACATTTCATTGGTCTAAAAAGTTACAAACAGTGGATAATAAATAATTACATATACCTCCCTGGACTTAGTGCATGTAATGGTGTATATAATAACGATATATTTTTTTGTAGTATTGGTCATGCATTTGGTGCATGATTGTCCATACACATTTACAAGGCAAGCATAATTTCATTTATAATTGCACTATTCCGGCCCTCGACGCGTTTCGCTCACTAAAGCTTCCTCAGGAGGTTTATTGGAGGCAAAACTCTAATTTCTTTGTAGATCCAAAGCTGAGATAACTCTATTAATAAATAAATTGTAATTCTCAGTGCACATGTATGAATATCTACATTAATATATAAGCTCAATTAACTACATACATACCCTCTTGGAAAATTGGGCAATGGATGGGTCCACATCCCCGGAGGACTCTAACCATCCAA